TTTTTTTTGTCAATTGTTCTTTATCTCAAGGGCTACTGCAATGGCGTTGGTGTGGCGGTATGGGGAGAAGTCGGGTTATGAAGCTTGGAAGGGCCTTTCTTGGGGAATGGTGAATTATGTTATGCTCCACTTTGTTTTGTTCTTTTAGTTTGTTGTGTGAAACAGTTGTGTTAATGAGGTGGTACAGATACAGAGAAGACTAACCTTAAAATATGCAAATTGCAATTGTGTATTCGTTTGCGAAGTTGATGATAGTACATACATCGATGCATGAAAATGTTCGTCTCATGGCAATGATACAAGATATGACAGTATACATTTCTTTAGTGCCTTTCCGAAACATTAATATGAATATTTTCTTTTCCAAAATAAAGTAGAAGATTGCTTATTGGTCATGAGAAGAAACAATTTCTTTGAATTATGCTCCTCCTTGTTTTGTTCTTTTAGTTTAGGTTGTTCTTTTAGTTTGATGCGGGAAACATTTGTGTTAATGAGGTGGTACCGACAGATACTGAGAAGAGTAACCTTAAATCTGCAAATTGCAATTGTGTATTCGTTTCTGGACTTGATATACAAACATCTATATATGAAAATGTTCGTCTAACGGTAAAAAGTACGAAATACAGGAGGGTGCCAGCTTTGTTGAATTACTCATTAGAGTTTGACAACATAAATTTCTTTAGAGCCTTTCTGAAACATTAATACGACTATTTTCTTTCCTAAAAGAAGTTGTAGATGCCTATTTGCTTGTTACTTTTAATGTAGTAAAAGAGATGAAAGTTTCTGGAGTTTTCATTGTATTGTAACTTGACATGAGATTTGTGTAGGTTCCCCTGCTAGGTGGAGCACTTTGTGCCTGTACGTGGCATTTCTTCTACAACTCTGAGTCTCTCGAGGTACATAATCTTGTAGTTGGTCATGAAAAAGGCTATTTTTCTAGCTCATATGTTGAATCTCCTTGTATTTGTTTTGACTACATGATAAGATTGCTGAATAAATTATTGGTTCTTCAAGCGGGATAAGACTTTAAGTTAAGATGAATTGTTTTTACTTTGCTGGCTTTGGGCTCACCCAGGCCAAAGAATAAGTAAATTATTTAATAGTGTTTGAAACTAAATATGGACACAAGTATCACCCACATGATGGCTGACAACTTTAATGTACACAAGTATGGACACAAGTATCACCCATATGGTCATTCAGGTGAGTTGTGTTAATGTATAAAACTGAGAACTCGTTCGTTCTATTGATTCTCGTATTGTAGCTTATGAATAAGAAAACCATAGAAAAGATCATACAGCTTACCTAGAAACAAATCAGGCAATCACAAAGAACGAAACCTTTGAAAAAAAAGAATCTCTTGAGCTTATTATCCGAGCTGTCAGCTGATTCTAGGTCAATGGCGAAGGCGTGCTTACAGAAGAGATGCCATATAGCATTGCTTCCATATCCATTTGAGTGCGTTAATGTTTAAGCTAATGTTGCCTCAAAAGTAGTAGTGGGATGAAATGGTCACTTGGCATATTACGTGTTAGAAAAGCTCCAAAGGGTGAAAGGTAGCCAAAAAGTCAAAACTCAATGAATTGGATAAAGTCCTCTTTATATCCTTTGAATCATTTTGTGAAAGATGAAATTGCTAAAAACTTGGTCATCTTCGGGACATGCTAGAAAACTGAGTTGTTGAGAGCCCATATGAGCTCTGGCTCCTAATTCTAAACGGAATTGATTCAGTCCTATTCAATTATAATTATTTTTTACAACTTTCTTATTGTCTTATTTAAGTTTGACTTATGATATTGGGTAATAAACCTGATTCTTTTACAGTGAGAGATCCACTCTATAAGAAATCATCTATACTCTTAGAGTTGTGCCTGAAACATTTTCAACTGTGATCTAAATTTACATGTTACTAGAATATATAAGAACCAAAACATTCACATAAAATTTAATAGTCCATAATCGAACTATCGAAATCCCAAAACTGTACAGAATAACTGGAAGTGAAATATACAATAACACTTTTTTGGGTATGAGAACCAAAACAATATTAGATATATAGATCTTTCAATACTATATTTTTCATAGGAATTAACCTCGTTTTTTCAAATACAAATTATGTATCCTGCTTAATTCTTTGACTTGAACACCCACTGTGATCTGTCTGTAACCTTCCCACCATTGAATAATGAGTTGATGAAATTGCCTAGTTGTGTTTTTCCAAATGTGCACTTTCTGTTCCTTGTGTGGAGTATGAGTGCTTTGCTTCTCTTCCTTCTTATCCGCTAATTTAGCATATGATTGGGTAAGACTAACCTTATGATTTGGCAATGGATTACGGATGAAGGATAGAACCACTTGAAGTTTCACATGCCTTACACTGAGTGTTGGAAGGCTTCAGTGTATTAACCAATATCTGTACAGAAATTAAATTTTACTTAATACATGGAGCCGTGAATTAAGGGTCACTAGTTATCATGGGAAGTAGAAATTAATGCTTGATTATCTTGTAAATTGAATGATAAACACAATGAAATGTCACCAAAATAAAAATAAAAGAACAAATAAAATATAATAACAAAAGTAAACATGAATTAATGCTTTTAATCGATGATACATTAATGCATTGCTCTCAAATGGAGGTCCACATTGCAAGGTGGAGGCTGGTGCATGATATAATTTACCTTCTTCACCTCTTGCTTTCATCTCATCAATATTTAGTTCCCATTTTGGTCATTTTTTTCCTTTTCTAATGATATCGTGCTTCAATTTCCTGTCCTTAACCTATATACTTATTTGGGCCCGACTTAAGTACATGACCCAAAAAGTAGACTGGTTATGGAAAGCCCAATATCAGTTTGTTGCAGCTTATAATCTTAAAACTATTTCCATTGGGGCCTCAACAGTCCTATATTGCTCTTTGCACCAAATTTAACTCAGAAGTAACCACATATGTAAAGTAGAGTAAATTCACCCACATAAATAAGTAGGAAATACAGAAGTGCATCATGAATAAGTGCATAAAAATGGACTAATTAACAATTATATAGAGCACTCAACTTCCCACCTATCCAACAACACAGTGCAAAATGAATTTGATCTACCTCAACTATGTGGACGTAGTATTTGGTTTATCTTTCCAAGATGAACTGCTCATTGACATATCCGAGTGTTTCTTTTTCCTGTTCCAGCCATTCTACTCATAGATATAACCTGTGATTAGCATGTTCTCTTCTGAAGTCTTAATCAGCTTCAAGTTTAGTCTAGCTTGGTCTAGACAAAAGCACTTTTGACGTTAAGTTTGCATTATCTTATGTATTAGACATTCATGGAGTTATACAAGTTGGGATAGATGGAAAGTAATTTGTGGGTCTCACTTAAGAACTTAAAAAACTTTTATATCATAAACTACTTGTTTTAATGGGACATGTTCAGAGACAATTGCATTTGGTAACATGTTCAAGAATATCCTTGACTGTAGCTCAATTTCGCTGGTATTGTTTAGAGGACTTCCCGATCAGGATCAGCAGATGAAGTCCTTGAGCAAATTATCTTCAACTGTCATCTATTGTACTAAACTTTAGAAGCTAATTCTATTTTTCTGCAACGTCCTCTTGAACTGCTCACGAGTCTCCTTGTTGCAGAATTTGTGAAGCGTTTCAAGTGAAATTGCTACGCTATTTTTCTCTGTTAATTGGTATTAATACTTTAGTAAGAGTTGCGTACTTAATACTTTAGTGAGAACCACTATATATGTTTCTAGTCTCCATATGATAATGTGACAACATATTGTAAATGAAGTTTGGAATTTGGATGCTTAATTGCCTATAACGCTATAAGTATATAGTACTCAAGTAGTACTGCATGCTAGTTACTGTCGATTCTCCAAAATAAAATAAAAGCAAGATGATGATGATAATGATGATGAAGGGTGACAGATCTGAAAAATATTGAATTGACATTATCTTGTAGTGCAGGCTGTCAAGGCAAATAACACAAGTCTCTTTGTTGATTTAAAACAGCAGCTCTGTTTATCTTTAGTGATAGGTCTTATGAAAGTAGATGATGTGATAATAGGTTTTTGCTTATGAAACAGAGTGAAAATGTTTGTTAATTTACATATAGTGAGAACTTTTCTAGTGAACGGTGCAGTATGATTTAGCACGGGCAATATTTCTCTTTTCTAGATCATCCAAAGATATAGTAGTTTACCGCGTTACTTTATCCTGTGTGTGTAGAGGCATATTTACATGATTTTGGATCAAAACAGATCATAGCTAAGTTAGTAAAATATCGCCCAGAAAATGTTTATGCCAAATTGCTTCAAAAACACGAGTTTTGGAAAATTTCTAATCCTAGCACTTTTTTATTCGGGAATGAATGAATAAATAAATAAACTTTTGCAACTTCTGTTTTCCGGGTTAATGTGAATTCTGCATAGTCTTTGGTCGATTTCTAAATAACTAAAAAATTGAGTAACCCGTCTGCTATGTCTTATTCTAGTGATCGAGCCGACTTGGTGCTTCATTTTCAAAAAAAAAAAAAAAAAAACAGATGGAGGTCATCACTCTTTTTCCATGAGCGGCATGATTCACAGTTTTTCCAAAAGTGTCATGATTTTTGGAGGAATTTGGCTAATGTTTATTCATCAAATGTCATGAAGCCCGTGCTTCATCTGTTGACAAGGCAATTCCAGCTACAATGCAGATAATTATTAATAGGGTTATCTCATTGGGAATCCCTCAACATTCATGTTTTACATTTTGTGTTGCTGAAGTCAAAAACTAAGTTTATCTTATGTTACTTTTGTCCTAAAGGTGAACCAATATTATATTTCGATACCCGCTTTCACTCGAATCTCCAATACTTTATCATCATCGTAGGAATCTTTTTCCTAGTTGCCGACATGCATAAACTTTTTTTTTAATCATTTACCCTACTATGTGTAGGTTCTTGTGGCTCTTCAAGCAGCTTTGACCGTAATTGGAAATGCTACAATGTGCATCGCTGCTTACCGTATCTACACATCATCTCAAGAAAGTTCCAAAAACTCGTGAAATTGGTATTCTGTTCCGACTGACGCCTCGAAGGTAATTACTTTTCTCAGCCTTTTTTTTATGATATTTCTTTACTTGGTCAATCCAGAGGAAATCAGAAAAATGCATTATTCGTCCCTTGATTCAAATTAATCCTACTATAACAATCCTAGTGGTTTCTTGATTTAAAAAAAGGAAAACGTACGGTTAAGCTGTTAATGGGTAAAAGTCGATATGCGAACTCACTCATGCTTCGTGTGATTAGTTAATCGAGTGGCTTTGATTTAAGGGGTTCCTTATAAGTTACAACGTAGTTTTCGAACGCTAGTTAATATTTTATTTTGTGGACACTTTAGGACTCTTGTGTTCTTTGCAATCATGACTTAGCTTGAGCACCCATGTGCTTGTGCTGATATTAGTGTGCTCGTTCGTCTCAGCTGGCATATAGTAAGTCAATAGTGTGAATTATTCCCACAGGACAAAAAGTTACAGTTTTTGTGATTCTGAAGTTGACAAATGTGGTTTGTTGATGTTTTTCTCTACTGCTTCAAAACTCTACACTGTTTTTTATTATTATTATTATTATTATTATTATTATTATTTTTTTTTTCCAAAACAAGTAGCGCTTTGTGTCCCTAATCTCGCTAATTATAATGATGGGATTTGACTAAATGCTTAGAATTATTGTAGGAGATGAAAAAAAAAAAGATAATTTAAAAATTATGTGTTTGTATGAGGAGAAAAAAGCTTCATGCGGGGTGGAGGAGATAATACACTCATGAATTCATGTGTGTAACCATGAATAATATACCATATTTTTTTTTAAATTCATTCAATTTGAATATATATGATTTTAGTGTTTCTTTGTTCATTTCTCGTGTGTGTAGAGATGTTAAACGGGCTAGCCTTGCGGTTCAGCCCTAGCGGGCTTCGGGCTAAACGGTCCGGGCCTAAAAAGTGGATTTAAACGGGCTATCAATAAAAGGATCTAACCCTAACCCTAGCGGGCTTCGGGCTAAACGGGCTATAATAATAAAAATATATAAAAAACCATATAAATAATAATGACAATGACGAGTTCACGATTGTTTTCAACGGCTATTTAGTATTTACCGCTCTATATATATACATTTACACTTCATGTATGAACACTCGTTACAAACTCTTAAGTGACATGTTTTTCTCAAAAGAAAAAAAAATGTTCGAACTATTACTTATAATTACCATTTTACTACTTATATTTGTACGCTTTGGAAATTTTCACGATATTGTATTTTACTGCTGAATTTATATTCTATCACTATGTTCTATGTGTTAGGTCTTTGTCTCAAGTGTTTTCTATTAGCCGTTCTAATTGGCTTAAATACTTTGGTGTGAAGTAGAATAACGAAACTGTTAATAATTATCTTTCAAAATCATAATAGCCAGCTACAACTCATAGTTACATATGAAGTAGAATAGTAAAGTTGTAATATACAAGTTAAACGGGCTAGGCCTAGCGGGCTTGGGGCTAGCCCTATCGGGCTTCGGTCTAAATGGTTCGGGACTAAAAAGCCCTGATTTAAACGGGTTACTAAAAAAAGGCCCTAACCCTGTTTTTTTTCGGGCTAAACGGGCTGGCCCGTCGGGCCAAGGACCGTTTAACATCTCTATGTGTGTGGTTTTTAGTCATGATTATATAAACATGCATGGATATTTCTTATGGTATAGATGTTAAATCGAAAATGGTTAGAACATATTAAATTATTAATTGATGTGTATGAAAACATATAACAAATACAAAAGCTACTAAAATTTTAGTTAGTCAAATATCTTATATATAAAAAGACCTAATAGTCGTAAGATAAAATCCAAACCTATAATTTACGGTTGCGAAACACCATACATTGACATCTAGGATTACGAAGCACCAAAGTTAATAATAAGCTTGAGAAACCTGCATTTATATATATTCAAGTAGTAGTACAACATCTACACCTTGTGAAAATTATATACTTAAAAAAATAAAATAGAAGTTAATATTTTATTTTTTGAATACGCCTTATAAACTGCATTTTTTGTTTTATTGAAAATGATACTTATCACATATAAAATGGTTAGTCCTATAATAATAATAATAAGAATAATATGTTATAGCAAAATTTCTTAAAATCGCTTAACCAATTGTTATAATAAATTTAGTATTTTCAGCTAATTAATTGGTCATGATCCCTCAAAATTACAAAAAATTACATTATTTATTACATTGTATTCAATTAATATAGTGATTTGCAATCAAATCATTATGTACTATTTATTTTAACCAGTGATTAAATTTTATAACATAATACTATTATTGTATTTATATATTTAATATTATATACATAGAAATAACTATAATGTTTATTTATATCTCTGCAAATGCACAGGGTGTCGAACACTAGTAAATAATGAAACCCAGTGCAAAGATTTGACTTTTATCAATCCCTTTTAAGTTTTGACGAGGTCAGTCCAATGAGTTGATACTTGTTTTTATTTTAGCAAAGTACATTTTTTATTTTAGCAAAGTACGTTTTGAACGAGTCGTTGATTTCTTTTTCAACAATTGTATTCCTAAAAAATTTGGAAAGTAAACGAGCGATTTTTTTTTTCTTTTTTTTCTTCAAAAGAAGTTAAATATTCAATGTGAATTGTCATATTCTTGTAAGACAATGCAAAACATATTTTATTTTTAAAAAATAATAATATTTCAGCATAAAATATAAGAGATAATAATTTCAAAACTCAATTTCAATCTGATGTGTCGTTTTTCAGCTCAAGGATTTTCTAGGCAAAATTCCAATTTTAGTCCTGTTAGTTTGATTGAGTGGTGTTTTTAGTCATAAGATCTGAAAATTTTGCTATTTGGTCCTCTGATTTAAAAATTCAATGCAATTTCGGTCCTCTGGGGACTAAAATTGCAACAAAATTATAAATTATAGGACTTAAGTTTCTAATAAAAAATCTTTGGGATGAATTTTTTATTAGCAAATTAAATCCTGTAATTTTAAATTTTGTTGCAATTTCAGTTCTCAAATGACTGAAATGACATCAACATACTAAACTACAGGATCAGAAAGCAAAAAATTTGAATCTTGGGACAAAAAAAATACTATGGCGCTAAAACCAGAAGGACTAAAAAATGCAATTTTCCCGATTTTTTATTCTTGTCCTATAGATTTATATCTGATGTTGTTAAATGAAATGAACTGCTCGGCTCATTTATTGAGCTCTTAATTTGGTTCGATAAAGGCCCGAACTAGGTTTGGCCCGTTATATGTCTACCCAAATCTTCATTTTACTATATTTCCATTCTTCTATCTATTAATGTTCATTTTATTCATAATATTCATTTAATTCATATACATTTTCATTATATATATATATATATATAGATGGGAACATCATTTTTCATGCACTCACGTGGGTGCACACGGGCAAGAACGAGCCTTGAGCCAAACATTCTTGGACTTTTTGGAAAAGTTTATCAACTTTTTGTTGATTTACGTGTCTCAATTAACATAGAAAATTCTTCATTTGACCATGATTAGAGCAGACAATTTAGTGTACACACCTTAATTTTTTTATATATACATTTTTTAATTTATGTACTAATTTATTAAATTATTTTGTAGAAATATAACTGTTGCCAACCATACATGATTAGTTTAATTATATGGCAAATATTGAAATAATCATTAATTAAGATTTTAATAGAAGACAAAATTAAGCTGTTCTTGAAATGTTTTTGCACAGGTGATCATTATTAGGGTCTTATTTCACCCTTTTAGTCAGCAAGCAGTCACCGAATTTCTCACCGTTTAATTCAAAATATACCGTTCAGACCTACATTTCATGCTCACATATGTCATTATTAAGACTTTTTTTTGTGGCTTAAATTTTTATCAAATTCTGAAAATTTAATTTAATTAACTCCGTAATTTCCATGGAATTTGAAATAAAAAACAACATTCCTAAAATTTGTGATTTAATATTTCAATCTGTTTTTCGTTTAATAAGCATGTTCTTGTCTCTAATTTAACTAGATAAGTCTCAAAATAATTTGATAGGATAAATGAGCATAGTTTATAAGTCTAGTGGGCTACTCCTCCCATCACCAATTGGTTTTGGGATGGAACCTCACTTGGGCTTCATTTGGGTTAACCCTTCTTATGGTGCGTTTCACTTGTGTGGGACCGCACTCGTTTTCCCGGTTTGACAAAATAAGCTTAAAAATTTTATAAAGTTTCCTGTAAAATTACTAAAATTTGATTATAAGATGGGACAAGAAAACAGGAGGAACTTGGATTGTAGAATGAAAGTCTTGAATCTCTATATTAACTGTCCTCAAAATATTTTGATAATTAAATTACATACAAAAAGGCTAAAAAAAATCCCTAAAAAATATTTTGATAATTAGTTTTATTAACATAAGAATATTTATCATATTTCATTAAAAGATATGAGACTATGTTTGTAGATGATACATGAGGAACATGGATTGTAGAATAAAAAGTCTTGAATCTCTATATTAACTGTGCTCAAAATATTTTGATAATTAATTACATATAAAAAGGCTAAAAAAAAAATATTTCATAAGAATTAATTATAAAAAAATTATTTTGATAATTAGTTTTATTAACATAAGAATATTTATTATATTTCATTAAAAGATATGTGACTGTGTTTGTAGATATTTGACTAGTTTCTGACTTTTGAACATGTTAAAATCTGCTATGAAGATATTAAGTAGCTTAATTTTTACTACAGACTGAGTAGTTCAATTGGCGTCTCTTGTTGTTACTCAATTTTCGAAATAATGCCTGGACGAAAGATGTAAAATTCGTATAATAATTTGTTTGGATGAAAGATGAGCAATTTTCCATTAGTATTAATTGCATTTGATACAAAAACATATCAGGGATATTATTACATTGCATCAAGAGAGACAGTTCAGAACCATGATCACACATATAATCTACTTAAGAGTTATTCTTGGAAAATCTTCTTTGATACTCAGACATCAAAGCAAGATTCTCTTGTCGAAGGAGAGTCGCTTGCCTCCTCAATCTTTCGTTTTCTTCTATGATGCTTATGTTCTCCATGTACAGCTTCAAGTTCTTGAGCTCCATATCGGTGTCGACTTTTTCTTCCCGTCGGGCCCTTCTGCTGATATGATCAAGTAAAACACACTTTTAGTACATAAACAACAAGCCAAGGTAAGAAAAAAAACGAGCGAACCATGAGTAAGTTCACGACCTTTCGCAGGAATATGTGTTTCGATTGAAGTGTATATAATCGTACCTTGATAAACGAAGAACGCGAACCCTCGCGCGCTTCGGTTTTCTTGGAATGGAATGAAGTAGTTGGGATTGTGTCCACTCTGTGTTTGAACCTAGACACATGTTTGATGTGTAATCTTTAAGCTTTTGTTTCTGCTTGTGTTGTGAATGCTATGTGTCTTTTTTGAGTGATGAATGGGGGAAAACTTAGGAAATTTTGTGGAAGAAAGGGGTGAAGAGATAGAGAGATTCTATACTATACTAGAACTAAAAGGGTAAGTTCAAATGTTAGAATAAATTGTTTGCCAAATGGTGTGTGTTAAATATGCACCCATGTGGTTGGGGTGTGTGTGTGGAAGTGTTAAATTTCAAGAATTGTAATGATGGCACATCATTGCTTAGGGTTGCTACCCAATCTCTATGCAATTATGCATTAAAGAAAAAACAATTGAAAAAAAAAAAAGAGAGAAGAAAAGAGAGCATAGGTTAGAAAGAAATGGTCTCAATTGATAAGCTTCCTTTTCTTTTTCTCTAGTTATCATCTCTCATGGCTTCACACTTTTGACTAATTCAACAATCCACCCATGTGAATTGGAATATGCTAGTTCTACAAATGATTGAAATTAGAAACTCAATTTTTTGAATTTGATTATTAGTAATTCTTGGTTATAGTTAGGGGAAATGTTACAGTCCCGTTACGGAAGCATTCTGTCAAGATTTGTAGCCGTTAGATCATCATGTAGCCGTCGTGGATAGTTGATCTAACGGTTACAAACTCCGATGGAATGGTTTTGTAACGGGACCGTAGAATCTACATATAGTTAGATAAATAAATATATTGTTGTAAAATGCAAGATGGCAATTTGGTGGTGTTTGTCATATATAGAAAACTACAAATTTTTGTATGGTGGTGCCTATTGTTAGGCGGATTTATCCGTCGTATTTTTTTTAACAAAAATACATATATTTATGTTCAGAAATGTTATACTTTTGTTTATATATTTTTTTCTTTTTGAAGAATATGTCATTTCAGTTGGAATTTTTAAATGTGTTGAAAGAGTATGAATATCTAACCATTAGTCTGACTAACCAACTTTTACTGATAAAAAGTTGAGATAATTGTGAAATTACATTTTCTTTGTCTTAGTATGCAATTTTATGTTAGATCGATTTTGCTATGGAGTCATTGGATGGTTCAGTTTATGGATGACTCTATAAGGGAGTCATTCGATGGCTCCATAGAATTATTACATTGCAGAAAATCTATAGAGCAATCGGATGGCTCCCTTATGGAGCCATCCATGACTTATGTACTGACACATGTCCAACGTTTTGCTATGAAGCCAACAGTTGACTCAATAATGGAGTCAACCTTTTATATACAACAAATAAACCTACCATACTGATAAAATTATATTAATATCATTTAAGTAATCATAGAAATAGTAAGTTTATTTGTTGTATACAGAAGGTTGGCTCCACTATGAAGCCAACCGTTGGCTCCATAGCAAAACAGCATATCTAATGCGTATTTATTGTAGAACACGTGTCAATACATCATTTGTGAATAACATTGGATGGCTCCATAAGCCGAGCCATCTAATGGCTTCATAGCAAAACCGGAAGGCATTGATTCTAATTTGGCAGTATGTTGACGTGATATAAGGAGCAATTAAACCTTGTATTAATTCATAATTAGTCAATAACTTGAATTAGGTCATGATAAACCAAATTTGCCCGTTGACTTATATGAGTTCATATACTAATAGTGTCTGTCTCCTACTTTGCTAATTAAAATATTTCAACTTGTACTTTATTTTTTTTTCACTAGAGTACATTAAAAAGATTCATCCTATTTTCTTCTTAAATATTTGTTAATAATTAGATAGGATCGAATTTGAGAATAAAGAATGTTATCTCTACAAATTTATTATTTATTTTTATCACGCTGTTCATGGAAAAAGAAAAGAGATAAAAAGAAAAAACAAAGGAATCTGTTTGCATGTGCATGTAGAGATAAATCGGTTGGCCACTATCTCCAACCGACAAACTAATTTTCAAACTCATTTTGCAGTAGCTGTCACATTAAACAGTAATTCTTTTCGAACTGAAAAACTCATACTTAAACTCAAAAAAATTGTGATCTAATTACAAATTAGATCACAATTTTATTTTAAATTTTGATTGAAAAAAAATATAATATTACTAATTACAAAATAAATATCCCTACACATGACAAATCGAAAAATGTATATTTATTAAAAATTAATACTCTAACCGAATAAAAAATACAATAAGGACATAATAAAAATTATACATATTTGAAAACATTTAATAACATTACAGCTCACTGTTATTTAGAAACATGTAATAAAATGTTTAGAAAGTGTTATAGATATAATAATTATTATTATTAACATATAAACTATCAGTAATATTTACAACATAGGTACAGTATTCTATTTTTTTTATTTTTTTTATTTGAGTATGTGATTGTTAATATTTCAAACAAATAGTAATTAGAAATATAAAGTAAATGAATACATTTAACCATTTTTTATATAAAACGTAACAGTATTTTATAAAAATGTAAAGCAAATAGATATTATATAAATTTAAATAGATAGCAAACTGGACATTTGAAAAAAAATTGAGGACTGATTTGTGATTGCATAAAAATTATGCGATGTCCTGAAATGTAAACGCATATTTGCGTCAATAAGAGAAAGAAAAGGAGACCAAACGCATTTTATGTATGAGTTTGAGAGTCGGTTGGAGCAATTTTCTTCCCTCATTTTGTGTTTTTCAGTTCGATTGGAGGTGTTTTAAGTGTTAAGCGGATATAACAACTAGACTGACACTATTCCTGTAAATATAAATATTTATTAGGAAATATTATACTTTAAAAAACAATATTGATAAATATTTAATAAGATCAAAATATGTATTTTTGTCTGAAAAGTATGACGAGTCGATCTAACTAACTCACATAATATTTTGTGCTGATATATTGATTATAAACATTCATTACATCTGATATTTTAATTTCTTAAATCTTGATAATTCTTCGTGTCCTATAGATCTAAGAATCGGACCAGGAACCGGTCTCCCTTCCAATCCGGTTCTCTTATGTAAATATATATATACACTAAAATTATTATATAAATTCAGTAATATTAATAAATTTAATATTGGTCTAATTGGGTTTTACTATTGGTCCGACCAGAGTAACCATTAATTAAATAAGTTGTTTGACTGATTTTAATTTAGCTAAGAAATTTTCCAAAATGAAAAATCAAAGTCGAATCTCACAAAAACAATTAGTCTCACAAATCTTATTCCAATCCCAAAAAAAAGAAAATAGAAAAAAAAAATTCAGAATGAAATAATACTTGGAAAATATGAGAAAATAAAATGAGATAGTTATAAAAAGATATGTAACATATTGTGCTAAATTTCTCATCCTCATGTTTGCATTGGAAAAATTAACTTAAACAGCTAATACATAGTGAGATTGCACGTCAAGAAGTCATTCATGTTATCTCGTTAGCTAATATAGTTAAAATTTGCTAAATATTATTTAACTCGGAATGCACATTGGGTCGCTACGGAAACAGTTTCCTTGTATAATTACAAAGATAAGGTTTGCGTACAACTGACCCCTCAAACCCCAACCAGTTGGGAATATACTAGGTATGTTGTTGTTGTTGTTGTAGTATTTAACTCGAAAAATTAATATCTCTCTAAGTTAAGAAGATTTGCTAAGAAATTATTAATTTATTGATTAATTAAAATCTCTCTGAGTTTATAAAATTTAATGGTCCTAATGTTATTAATGTATACAGGTCTGAATTTTTATCCATGTGTACCGATATTTTTAAAACCATAAGAATCCAAATTAAAAACATATTTTAAAATTTAGCAACTCTTTTAATTAAAATCACTTTCTATACATAATATATCAAATTAATCAGATTTAACATTTTACATATGTATTCTATATATAAAATAAAATTAATTATTTCCACCTTTATGAAAGAGTTTTATAGGTGAAGAATGTAAATTTTAAATGGAACCAGTAATATAAATTTTAAGAAATATTTAAAAAAATTAAAGTTTAAAAAAACTTTTTTAAAAAGTTTATATAAATTAATTATCTAATACACTTGCATTAATATTATTATTAGTTCACTAAAAAGCGTGAAAGACTGGGTCAAAAACTTCTAATTTTTCAACTCTTACAGTATATATGCTAATCATTGCATTTGAAATCATTCCAAAATATAATTTTAGTTGGGATCGTCAAACTTCTTTATAAGTCTAAGATAGACCTAACGTGTTATCGAGTCTAATTGTCAATTATCCTTACAAATCATGATATTTATTAAATCATATT